GCGTTGGGGTCCCCCATCTCCTGCACCCCGAAATGGCACAAACAGACTCCCCCAGCCAGTAGAACAGGGGAGTTTATTGCCTCTCCAGGATACAGCACAGCACAGATGGAATCTGGATCCAGGGAGGCCTAGGGTGCCTCAGCCCCCCTTGATATGGGGGGGTGTCTTGGCTCCTAAACCCCAGCCCCTTTCCTAGGCTGCTTCCTCCATGATACCAGACAGAGACTAACTAACTCTCCTCCCGCCCTGCCCCCCAGCCAGGGCAGCATCCACCTTCCTTTGTTTCTCTCCCTGGGGGGTAGCTGGTCAGACAGGTTTGGAGCCCCCTTTGCATAATGACTCCCCCCCTGCCCTGCTGGGCTGTGCTACAGCCAGTGGAGGTCGCTCACAGCCCCAGCAAGTTATGCCCCACTACGTCACAGCCGTGTGTCCCGTATTGTTGAAAGCGTCTGGCAACCCCAGGTCTGAGCCAGACGGGGGCCAGCTCATCTCCTGGCTCGGGGAGACCCTGGGACGTTCAGGCCCATGCTGCAGCCAGGCTCCCGCCCCGCCCTGGGTCCCTCCTTGTCCCCCTGGGATAGCTGGGGGTGCAAGTCCCCATGGAGGGCCTGCCCACCGCCCTGTGCCCCAGGAGCTGGCGGTCTCCTTAGCTCCTCTCCCTGGCTCCAGCAGAGGGAGGTGGAGAGGGAGGCGCCTGGCCCAGGGGGGTTGGGAGCTGGCTGCAGGACACTGATGGGGCCCATCTCCTCCCTCCCATCCCAGCTCAGCACAGCCCCCACTAGGGAGCTCGGGGCCCAGCTGGGACTGTCCCTCAGGGGCCCAGCCGAGGACACCGGCCAGCTGGGGAGGGGCCCGACCCCTCTGCCCACTGCTGCTGTGCCAGAGGTGAGGGACCCGCTGGGCGCTGGGCCCCCGAGCACTGACATCGACAGACGCCAGGTCAGGGTCCTGCTGGAATGTCAACCCCCGAGCCTGCCCCCCCCGGGAATGGGATTCCTGTTGCTGCGCACCAGAACCTCTGGGACCTTCGCTGTGCGTGTGTACATGGGAGGTGGTGTGTGAGTGTACATGAGGTGCTGTGTGTCTGTGTATACGAGGGTCTGTGGTGTGTGCGTAAAGGAGGGACTGTGCGTGTGTGTACATGGGAGGCGGCGTGTGAGTGTACATGAGGTGCTGTGCATGTGTGTGTGTATACGAGGGTCTGTGGTGTGTGCGTAAAGGAGGGACTGTGCGTGTGTGTACATGGGAGGCGGCGTGTGAGTACATGAGGTGCTGTGTGTGTGTGTCTGTGTTTTCCTCTGAGGGAGGGGCACTTCCACTAATACGAGGGGCTGTGGAAAGGAGGGACTGTGCGTGTGTGTACATGGGAGGCGGCGTGTGAGTACGAGGTGCTGTGCGTGTGAGTACATGAGGTGCTGTGTGTGTGTGTGTGTGTTTTCCTCTGAGGGAGGGGCACTTCCGCTAATTCCCACTCGCCCTTGGCACACACCCGCGGCGGCTTGTGGCAAAGGATCCGTGTTTGTTTAACAGAAACACGAGCGAAGCGAAGGGGGAGCCGCGCGGCAAAGCAAACAGGGACGCATCCCGCAGCCCCAGGCCTCCCGTGCGCGCGGCCGGAGTTTGCTGTCCGGCGGGTGGGGCGCTGGGGCTCGCCTGGATCACAGCCCAGGCCAGGCCAGTCTCACTGCTCCTGTGGTTCCTGGTTCACGGTGCAGAAACGGCAGAACGAGGCTGGTGGCTGCAAGGGGCAAACAGACGAGCCCAGGGGGGAAATGAGGCACAAATGTTTCCCGGGGAGGCTGATGCACCATTGGCACAAACAGCCAAATCCAGGGAGGGATTCCCCCTTGTTTGGTGCCTCCAGTGCAGACGAGCGGCCAGTCCGGTGTGTGCGGGGTCAGAACGTGGGTACGGGGGCTGGGACGTGCGGGGGGCAGATCTGACGCTCTAATGGGCCCTCTGGCCTCACACTCTGCTAACGCCTGAGGAGCTGGGCGGGGCGGAGGGAGCAGCCCCTGGGGCGTCACTGCCCAGCCCTCTGGGCCCCCGACCCAACTGCCATTCGTCGAGGGAAGACAGTGCTGGTGCCCGACGGGCAGCCCTGGCGTCCTCTCCCCAGCGCAGGCCGGGCAGGGGCAGCAGCAGGGCCACCCGCCTCCCTCCCAAGGGCCCAGGCAGAGCAGGAGCAAAGCCTGGGCA